ATTTTTAATCACAGTCATTAATTAAAAAGTTGGATAAAGGTCTGTTGGAGAGAGACAGATGAATATATTAGGCATCTAAAAGTGTCCTAATTAAAAATATGTGATTTTTAACTGATATTGGTACAGATGATCTGTAATTGAAAATAATGGCTATCAGATTCAGAATCTAAAAATGTGCACTTTGGTCGGGTAGACAGCAATCTCAGAGTAAAACAATTTACCGACCACTTTTGTTTCCTTTTCTGATTTAAATTTAAACATAGACATTAACTTCTCTTCAAGTTTAAAGTTTTACAAACACTAATCGGCTTGTGTTTAAAAAAAAGTCATCAATTAGGTTTGTCTGACTATAAATCTTATCATATATATGGAAGTATGAATAAAATAATTTCTATTTAATAACTATTATTTCAATATCTTCTCAAAATTATACTAATATCTCACTTTTAAAAAGTCAAATATATTTGTTGGAAATAAGCTTGTATTTTGTTATATTTTTGTAACTCGATTTAATGACTTCTTTAAAAAAAAATTATTAGTGTTTCTGCTGAACGACGGTAGTAACAATTAGGAAAAGATTATCTAATATAATTTAAGTAATCCAAAGTAATAAATTTTGTTTATTGGATTTTTTTATATGATAGTAATTTTTTTTTTAAAATGGATATTTTTATACATGTCTACTAAACCTAATAGTTACGTATATTAGATAAGTCTCATTAAATTTAATCTAATTGATAAAATTAATTAAATTTAAATTGGGTTTGATCTAGATTTAAGTCCATTTAAATTAGATTGGAAAAGAATTAAATTTAATTAATCTAGTTAATATAAATATAAATTATACATCTAATTTATTTTATTAAATCTAGATTGGAATTGACTGAATTTTGAAAATTTTAATTTATTTATATTTTTAATTTGATAGTGAAAAACAAAACATATTATAAATTAGTCCATCTAGAAGTCAAATTCAATCTAAATTGTTATATCTAACACCCTAAAATATAGCATAATATTATATCATAGATTAATCACACATAATAATATGATAGATTAGTTCATCAAGAGTTAGTAAAGTATTTAAATTACAGTTATCCAAAATAACCATAAAACTAAAAACTTTACAAATCAACATAAGTCTGATACAACAAAAATACAGACATAATTGAACGGTGATACAACAATTTGTATAACCCGACGGGTTTACAAAAGATAAACTAAACCTATTGATCGAACGATCGAATCTAAAAATATACACAACTGATGACCGAGCGGTCTTAACTTAAGCAATAGGGTCCTCACCTTCCAATGCTTGTTCCACCGAACACTCGTCACCTTCTACTCACATCCACAAGATGATCATTATAAAAGAAAAGATAACCGGACGAACAAAACAAGACAACCAGAAAGTAGGGTAAGCTAACGTAATTTAATTATAAACACATATATACAATTCGTGCAAGTTCAATACGTACAAAGACGAACGGTACATCATGCAAACACAGAATACATTTAGTCACATACAAACCGAACACCACCATTCAATATATATATATATGAACTGGACACTATGACTTGACCATCCGAATTGTATAAATATGTAGCTACAGTCGTCCTTGCACTTGTGGTAGTGTAACAGCTGACACCAATCAAGCTACTACCCAAGGTTAATCCCATAATACCTACCTCGGCATCCTGAGGTGGTAGGATCTCCTACTATTCTCACAAATGAAATACCTCTCTCCATATGAGAATGATACTCATAGAATTTCAGGATGAACGCCAGCTTAGCATATCCATATTCATACTTTACAATTCCATAACCATACACGAGACATTCCGCCTTGGACTTCTCTTCCACAGTATACATAAATCCAAAATTCACATATTAAACATAATTTGTCATTCATCAATTATATTTTCATTTATAGAATAAAGAGGACATGTGAACATTGGAGACCAAACACCTTCACACTACCCAACCGAGAGAATCGAACAGTCCATAATAAATAAAACTAAAGAAATATCCGAAAGCTATTCCTGACCGACCACTATATAAAAATCAATTACTATGAACTTAGCCCAAATCTGAAGAGCTTAAACCGAACGCTCATAGCTCAACTTGAACTCTTAAAACTTAGACCGAATGTGTATAGCTCAGTCGAACATCATTAATACAAGATATAAGTACGAGACTGAGTACTAATAGGCGACTGAGTGCTAGTACGAGACCAAACGCTTCTGAAACCGAATGTTGTATATGACCTATCACTACCAAAACAGTACATGACAGAGCGCTACCGAGAATGACCAACACACTTAAGACCGAACGTTCAACATTGATAACACTAAAGAGACCAAACCCGGTTAATGACCGAGCAGGCCGATCGCTATGACTACCGAATACTACTAGAACCGAATGTTAAACATAGTACTACTAAGAACAAACGTTAATACCAACCCGAAGACTGCTGAGGTTGAAAACAAGTATTTTATTTTTAAACGGAATGCCAATACTAAAGCGAACAACACTAAGTTAAAATATCACTACAAAACCTAATATCACTAAACCCGATTTCATGACTTGACCGAGTGTTCGATAATGAGCTCTCTACTTCCTACAATTCTGCAGAACTTCTCAACCAGTTCACAAGTCTCGCCAATACACAGAAAGCAAACCAATATCAATTTATTCACACATGCACCCGTTCAACCAAGCATTTCAATCATAAACAAACATAATTAAATTACTAGCTTCCCTTACCTCGAATAACCAGACACTTCCTACGCTTCCACAGTGTTGACTAACCAGCAACCACTTCTAAAGCAGCCTACTACAATTCTGATCGATGAAAAGGGACCAACCAGAGGATCAAAAACAAAAACTGGTTTAGAGAGAGATAGATGAAGAGCACATGCAAGCTGAACAGTGCTTGCATGTTCCAGAAAATACCGAAACTTAAAAAAGAAGAATGAGTTTACTTACCCACTTCACACAACAACTAGATTGATGGAAAAGAAACTCTTGCCACCAAGGAAGAACTCAGACACAACCCAGATGATGATCAGAAGAAGGATAAAGTGAGGATTTTTAGAGAGAAGAATGAGAATTGTGGAGAGAAGGAGGAGAAACTCAAAAATTTGGAGAGAAGAGGTGCATGTAAAAGTGGCTCAACGTTTGAAAATTTTGCTTATATATTACCGTCAAAAAAACTGATCGGTCAATCAGCTACACACCTGTTTTCCACTTTCTGAATTTTCTAAACCCTTACTCTACACCTGGCTTCCACTCACGGTTGAATTTAATGGTTTTGAAACTATATATTTCCAAACGCACAATCTAAGTATATTTTCGATTAATCTGAAATGTTAAACAACATTGAAAAAAATAATAATATAAAAGAATTTACCCCCTAGATTCTACAATCCAAAATCTTTCCGATAAAATTGAGTGGAGGGATATCTTTTATATTTTACACGCGGTCAGCGAGTTATTAAATTACGAGTCTAACAAGGTTTTAGATGCATCTTACTGTATTAAAGAATAATTTTATGGTCTTGGACCACCTTTTGTAAAGTTCTATTTTTCCATCTGTTATACATGTGAATATTATTAATTCGTATTTTGTTGTTAAGAAATATGTCAATATTTCACATTAATTGATGAATCAACACAGAACATGTTTTTGTTTAAAATATAACGTTATCGTCTCAAATCTTCCTAATTTCATCATAGTAATATTTCTTATCACCAAATTTGAGTAGCATACAAATTAAATCCTCCATATATATATATATATATATATATATATATATAAGAACACAAAATGGTTAAAAACCCAAAAGCTAATAGATCTAAAAAAACATAAATTCTATTGAAATGAACGAAAAACAAATCTACAAGTAAAAAAAAAGAAATTAAGAATGAGCTATAATTGAAGTATAGGAACCATTTATATGAAAAGTTAGAAGTTAACCTTATAATTGATTAATTGAAAGTGGAGGTACTAGGAATTGACTAGTCACGAACAGTGTTTATTCTATACCTAATTCATAATAAAAAAAATTGATTTTTTATTTATTTGATTACTTAATAGATATTTGTTTAAAAAATATTTACGAATTTTAAAAAAATTATAAATATTTATGAATACTCACATATATTTCAAAAAATAATTACAGATTTTTAAAATAAAATTAATATATGTATAATATAATATAAATTAAATTAGATTTTTATTTTATTTAAATTTAAACTAATAAAATATAAATTAAATTTCAATTTTAATTCTCTTATAGATGATGAATATCCAAAAATAAAAATATAGATAATGTAATATTTATCATTGACTTATTTATAAATAAATATTAAATTATTTATTATTCATTATTTACGAATTATTATCCATGACAAATTTTACGTGTGAATTCCTACCAACATGGATATATTTAACATCACAACACACTAGTATATGAAATGAGGATTGGACTTTAGAAGTTGGATAAATGAAGATGCGCATATCAACCAAAGAAATTGAAAGTGAAGAAGAGAAAAAGACAAGAACTTGTTCATAAGAATAAGCAATAAAAAATAAGATTTTTCATGAACACGAAAGTTAAAAGAATAATACATCAATTACAAATGTAACTAATGTAATATGCATTTATTCTTTTTCTCTATCCCACTAGTCAAATTATTCAAAAACTTTATTTTTGAATCTATTCATTTTCATCTTTAAAAAAAAAAAACAATCACAACTTTATCTACAAATTTACTTTAAATTCATTCGTTCACTTTTTCTCAAATTTATCTATTTAAAGAAATACACCCTTAAGATTTATAAAAATTAAAAAACTCATTCTTAAAAAGTTTGGCAAAGAAACACAATTTTTAAGAACATATATGTTTAAATCTGTCTCTAATTCTTAAGAATTACACATATACTTATGCACTGGACACGTTAAACATAAGACTGATCTTTAAATGTTTGTAATTGTAAAGAATGTGATACAACTTTGTATTGTAAACCTATATATGTTTACAACTTTTGGTTTTAAGCAATGAATTTGGTAATAGTGTAAGTGTTGCTCACAAGAACTTGTTCAAATATTTTCCAATAACAGGGCTTATAAGCTTTTTATAAACACTTTCAGTTGGGTGAAAACTGTCCCAAAACACATACTCCAAATCGTTAGAGCATAATGGAGTGAAACGATTGCATAGTAATACCACTTCTATTGTCCCTGTGCCACAACACCCCCTGTCTCCCACTTTATACCCTGCAAAATCATAAGAAATATAACATGTTTAAAAATTAATAATCGATGAATAATTTCATGTTCGTATCAGAAGTACTAATTACTTACATGTCTATGTTTCAATGTTTTTTGTTGTTTCAGTCAATAGTATATTAAATGAACAGACCCACCTTTTAATTATCCTGATCTACTCATACATGTGCAAAGCTAGACATAGGAATAAATGCATCCAACTACCTTTCTAAAGAACCTAAAAGAATAGTATCAAATATCACTTATAAATGGCAAATTATCTTAAGAGATTTGCTCAAGCTTTGGAACATATTAGAAATGGTAATTCTGCAGGTAAATGTACATTACAATGTTTTTTTTTTTGTCATAAAAAGCTCTATAAATTAATATGCAAAAGGAAAAGTGAAAATTAAAATTACCATATTTTTGGTAGTTGACTATGATGTCAAGGAGAGGATTGTAAACATCAACGTACACCATTCTGCTATCTGGAAGCTCGTGATTGAGAGACTCGAGTTGCTTTGACAATTTGGTGTTAAAGATCTGTACGGCGTCGTTTATCTTCACTACAACGTCTCTTCGTATTCCTCCTCCGATCGTTCTCTGAGATGGCAAGTACCCAAGTGGCGGCACACTGAACACTGCAATCCTCCGTGCTCCTTCTCCATATATTTCCTTTCATTTGTATTCAGACCAAACATCAAACATCAGACTATCAAAGACAACACAGTCCCATGTTTGTGAGAGAGATTTAAATATATATAACTAGATATAAGACAATTTCATTGCAAGAAAAAAAGATATTACTTGTTACCTTGAAGAAAGTAGAAGCTGAGGAGAGCATAAAATCAGCATATGCAGAAAAATTAGGGTACTGCAGTTGTCTAACACGGGTCAAAAAGTATGTGTTGGAAATGTCGTTGCTTCCTAATACCACAATATAAAGAGTGTTTCTTAAGATGAACTTGGTTCTCTCTTCTCCGACCGCCGCTTTCAACTTCCCTATGTATTCTCTGAACAACCCTAGTTGACCCGATAATGATATGGTAAACTATCACAGCAATAGCACCAGGTTAGAAAAACGATCATAACCGGTTCTTCACTTTCAAGAGATATCAGTCAATCGATTTGGAGATGAAATTACCGATGATTGTGCTGTGAAAGGGTCGTATCCTGCGCCACCAGATGCAAAGCACACACCAGTCGCCAATTCACCGGGTTCGAGCTTTGAATCCACGTACGGTGGAAGAAGCTCTTTTATGCCCAGTTCTTCAACTGAGTTATGCAGAAACACACGAGTTATTCAGAATTTTTGTTTCTAAATGGTTAATTAAAAGTGCTTAATAAAATTATTAGTGTTATTAAGTGCTTTTAATCATTATTCTTTTGACTGCTCCTTGGTTGCATCCAAACTTTCAGTAACATCTACTTCACATCATGAGCTGTAATCATATCAGAATTACCTTGAAAATGACTTTTCTGTAGAACTTTATATAATTGGAAAACAAAAATATTAGTCCAATTTCCTTACATGTTATCGTAAAACTAACAAACACTTCTCAAATATGTTAATGTAATTATATTCTATACATAGTCTAATACATGAACTAGCTTTTTCATTAACATATAAGTTTGATCTCAGTTAAAAAAATAAAAAAAACTCTAAAAAAATGCTTATTGTTGAAATTATAAGATATAAGAATCATCAAAGTAAAACACATTTTTAAATTAAAATTAATTTAAAAATTATACCATGAAAAAAGTAAGATTAATTTGATTTATTCATAATTAAGTCCCAAAGTAATACATTAATTCAGCTTGTATTTTCATAGTGATGATACATTTGGTAGAATTTATTTGAAGAGTCAAACATATATAACTTTGATTGTCTTATAAGAGTAACTATTTATGATTGCTTGTATCATAAAATTAAAAAAACTATATGCATTAAATTTTTGCAAAGACGGGAAGGACAGTGTCATAAAAAAGAAGGGATGATAAATAGGACACACTCACCTATAAGGTCAGATGGAACCTTTCCATTACTGAATCTCCCAGTAGGGATCCCTCCCTTAAAATCTTTACCATATGGTGGGTAATTGCACCTTGCTGTTGTTGCTAAATTGTTGTTGTTATTGCCAGTGTCCATGATCGAATCTCCAAACACCAACACTGCAGGAACTGAAACATTTGGTGGCAGTTTCACAACTGCCCTTGTTTTTTCACACACAATCAAAACTGTTATTATAAATAATACTATGAAACGGAAGAGTGAAGAAGGAGAAGGAGAAGAAAAAGAAGGAGGGAACTTCATAAAAAGAAACATAAATTATTGGTTGTGCTTCTTTTTCTGGAATGATAATAGATAATGATGAACATATCTTATATAATTTGGATCTTAGCTTGTGTGCACCACAAATTGCATGAATGAATCATCGTCTGTTTTTTAACTCATTTATGGCATCATTATGTCAAGCTACCGGGAGCTTTTTCATTGCAGTTTCACGATTCTGTCAAGGCATTAATGATTACTTTCTTTTTAAAAAGTTTCAAATTACATATAAATGCATGCAATGCTTTGTTATTTTAATGAAAAAATTAATTCCGACACTTTTTCCAAGAGAGTAAAATGATTTAACGAAATTGAACTTTTATATTAGTAAAAGAAATAATGATAATTAAGAATAATGTAAAAAAAATTAAATATTACAATATCCTAGTCTAATTTTAATTTATTTTCTTTTCGTGATCAATTTTATATAAAAAAGAAGTCATACTTGTATCTAGCATTGGTCACTAAAAACAATGTTAACAGGAAATTTTGCTTTAGGAAAGAATAACGGATACGTAACCTTAACGAGTGAGCTTCGGCATATATTCTTATACATAAGCAAAAAAAAAGTATAAGATTAAAAAATCAATTTGTTGTATTAAAATTTACTAATTTTAATATTTTTTCATAAAATGAAAAATGTATAATAATGATAGTTTATAGACGGGACATTAATTAAAGCTCCAATACTCCAAATGATATTAGTGACGTGTATATATATAAAATCAATAAAAAATAAGCTCCCATACTTGTTAATATAAATATTTACTAATAAGTTCCCATACTTGTTAATATAAATATTTACTTATACGTCGAGTTGGTTACCCAAAATGGTTTTTAAAGAAATAGCTTTTATTATGTAGAATTTATATTTTCTTTTAGTTTGGCTTTTTGTTTTGTGACTATATAAGCATTGGTTTAATCTTCTTATGATGTATTTGTTTCTTCTTTTTTTATGTTATTTAAACATTTTTTGAATTCTACTCTCAAATATGGAAATTTTTAATAATAAAAAAAAAACTCAACCGAAAATTTAAGTTTTCAATTATTAATATGTACGTGTTAAGTTGTTTCTTGGTATAGTTTATTTATTGTAATTATGATATTGTTTGTTTGTAATCATATATGAGTACTTCACATATGTATAGACGCAAAAATGAATTAATTATTTTAAACAAATCAAATCACATACCTTACACATGTACGTGAGTGTATAAAATATAATAAATACATATATCATCACATCTAGAGCACACCATAACACAGTTACACTTTTATCCAATAATACTTAAATTTTTAATTACATATTAATGATGTAAAGTGATTTATCTTTGATGTATTCTAAAAAATTAGTATTAATCATTTTCCGCTAAATAATAACATTTGATCTCTCGTAAACATATTAAAAAATTAATTCTTGCTTTTTTTACCATGTTCGTTACACCTAATTTTATAATAATATAATGCACAAATGTTCTTTAATTAATATACATGATCATATCATCGGTGAAACATTTCACGTCTTATTTTTAGAATAATTATTTTTAGAATAAATTTTGTTCTTACTATTATTACCCATTAGAATCATGATATCACCATACAAGCCTTTCATTACACACTCATAAAGTGTCACAACACACCCATAAAAGGTCAGACACATCACGTATGTAAAGGATCATTTTATCATACAAATGCATGTACATCATCATAATCAATAATATAAATATATATTTTTTACTACATGGATTTCACCAACAATCACACATCACTTAAACGACTTCTCATAGGATAAGTGATTTTTTTTTTATACACAGACAACTATAATATATGTGGGTTACACAAACACCAATAACATCTGAGCCAACTATATAAGAAATCGACATTACTCTTTACCCAAAACCTTAAGGCTATGGGTTAGTGGATCTTTCATCTTTATATAGTATTCTATTTTCCAATTTCTATCCAATGTGGAACTTGGACTCACACTTGAATTTTCAACATATTATAGGTTCACCCTTGATCCTTTATTGTTTGAGTATCACTTATTACAAAGAAGAAAAATTATATTGGTTTCTTTCTTATTCAAGCCCCAAGTCAACTTGAACAACATGCTTTGTCATTTGAGCATTTATGCTAAAGAGTTTGAACAATATTGAGTTCTGTTCATAGTGATAACTCATCTGTTAAATATCTCATGAGCAATGTCAATTTAGAAACATAAATTTTATTAACATATAGTACAAGAACTTCAATTTTAAAATTACTCCAAACTACCAATTCAAACACTCATATGACTATTTAACCTTCTTATTGTTACAACATTATTTAAATATATAAATTAATTGAAGTATATATTAAAATTAACTCCCTGATTGAAGAGAGCATGTCTATTAACAAAATCCATCTTGTATACTTCTAAAATACTACAATTGAAGCTTATGAATTTTTCAATGTGTTAATCTAGACATCATCAACATCTTTCTTTGATCAAAACTTCCAAAGAAAGAAGAATTAGGAATCAAAATAATTATTTGGTCAAGAATTTACCTGATTCACCAACATTTACATCTTGGGGGATTCAAATAAATTCTTGACTCAATCTCACTAAGTTTTTCAACTTTCTCTCCCACATTTTCAAATTTCTATATATATGTTTAATGTATGGAAATAATATTATAAGACAGGACATAGAATTTGTGAGAAAAAAAATGGAACAGATTAAGTATTCTAATCCAATCTATTTAGGTTTGTGTCTTATAACAGAAATTAAAAAATTCATTATATTTTAACTCCAAAAGTGATCTGAATTTCTTTATTTTCTTTCTTTTATTCATTTAATTTATGTTTATGTTTGAATCTCTAATTCAATTATGTATATAATATTAGTTAATTATTATAGTTTTTAATAGATTAGATAATAATTTATTTTTATATTTTTTATTCATGTTTAACTTTTATATATTAATCTTAAATAAATGTTAATATTATGTTTATTATATTAGATCCTTGAACTAATCATTAACAAAACAGGTCAAAAAACTAATTTACAATCTGTGTGAAACAAGTTAACCCAATCCATTTTTTGGAAGCGAAATATAAATGGATGAATTGTTATTTTAAATGTGTTACTTTAAATTCTTACTTCCTATTTATTTCCAGTGACTTAAATTTCTATATATCGTACGAGTGTATTTTTTATTACTAACTATAAGACGAGTATAAAAAGACGATTAAGTAACTAATAAAAATACTTAAATTTGTAACATTTAAAGATTCTATTTCTATTCTTTTGTAACAAGTGAACTACTTTCTTTTTTCATCTAAGTGTAAAAATTAGGCTATTTATTACTATTATTACCTTTGTTATATTTTTAAAATATTAAAGTAATACAATTCATAATTATATTTATAAATACTTATTTATTTTTTTAATTTAAAAACTAATATGATAATACTAAAAACTTTAAAAAAAATATCTTTAGAGCTTCAATATTTGCTGTCTGTGTCAACACTACCAATTGCCAGTTGCTTTCCACTCTACCCATTTCCCCTTTTTCAATCCTAACATTATCTTTTAGCAAACATGATTTAAAAAACAAAAACAAAAACAAAATAATATATATATATATATATATATATATATATATATATATATAGAGAGAGAGAGAGAGAGAGAGAGAGAGAGAGAGAGAGAGAATATTGTTTTAGTTATCTTTTTAAAATTGAAATATAATTTTATTTTAATTTCTTTAAATTACGTAATTAAAACATGATTAAGAAACTATACATATATAATGTATTTTTAATTATGTTTTTAAAATTTAAATATAATTTTATTTTATTTGTTTAAGTTACTTAAATTTAATTATTGTAATTATATTTTTTTAGATAAATAATCGATTTAGTACAATAAACATTAATATATTTTATTTTTAATTTAATAAATAAATATAATAAAAGTTTTAATAGAAAAAAATTATTTTTATTAATTTTGTTTGAATTCTATTGATCTAATTGAATATTTACATATATTATTAAAGCAAAAAAAAAAGATATATTTATTAAAGGTAAAATTAGTATTAACATATAATTAATTTTAAAAGATCTTTTTTTATTTTATAAATTTAAAATAACTAGTGATTGTTTCAAAATTAACTAATTATTAATACGTGAATAATGATTTTTTTTAATAAACTCACTTACTAAATTCATGTTTAATTATATTGATAGTAAAATTTAAACAAAAAATATATAATTAAAATTATTAAAAAATTAAATTTTTTTATTTTGAATTTTAGAGTAATTAAGAAATAAATACCTTTTTAAAAAAATAAAATTATAAACTCACTTATTTTACAGGAATTAAAAATATATATTTAGATTTATTTTTAATCCATTTTTCACAATTTATATACATATATATATATTCTTTTAACTACTATACTATAAATATTTAAAAGAAAAGTGCATCAAGAACACTGATTAGCAAGACTTTCAATTTCAAGTAAATAAAAATGCTTACAATGACCCTCATTCAAATGAAAAATGATAAAGATCAAAGGATATTGTTATCTCACAGCTCATGGAAGTACACTAATTATAAGTCGAACCAGACTTTCGAGGAAATTGATTTCAATTTACTTCAGTACACCATTCTATTTCTAGCTATTGAAACAATACTGTGTTTTGATAGTAATGTTTTAAAATTACTATCTGACAGAGAATTTATTTCAATTTTCTGTTTTAAATTTTTTTATTTCTTTGTTTTATGTAAAATAATTAAAAAAATAAGAGTGTAAATATAAAAAAAAAAGTTGCATTATAAAAATATAACTAAATAAAAGGAGTTTTATTAAAGAGAGTAACACTTATAAAGAAAAACATAAGGGGTATTCCATTTGATACTAAATTGTTAACAAAGTGTTTCATAATCTTTATTTATAACACTAACTTTTCTGAATTCAATACCAGTTATGTATTATTAAATTTACAATGAAAAGTACAATAATTCATTGTTTTTATGGTCATTCTGATCTGATACATTAATTAATTTCTTTTGTCTGGAGAGAAAGCATTGA